TTGCATGTTATAGTAAATACAGCTGCATTTGCTTAAATGATAAGGAATTAAATTAACCCACTATCTTTACTTTTATACTTATCAGGTGGTCTGACCCCATCTCATCCTTCTTCTCCAAACATCTGGTAAACTGCCTCCCTAAATGCTGAGATGCTGTCCGTAGGCTACGGCACTGCAGGGTAGCCATCTGAAGCCATGGCGCAGAGGAAAACACAGATGCTTCAGAATGCTCTTCATGAACGCAACCTCCAGCTTCTCTGCAAGCCTTGTGCTACATGTCCAGTGGCTTACCACCATCCTGGGATGGTTTTGGACATTTCGTGCTCTGTCAGAGCCTGTAAAGCCCCGTGCTCAGAGTGATGTGTGTCTTTCTTCAAAGGAGGCAACTCTACATCTTTCTGCACTGAGATGAAAAGCTGCCCTGTGGTACTCTTCAGGTTACATCAGAGAATTTCCAGTTGGAAACCCTTATGGAAATAAATCCACCACTGAGGCATACAGGAAAGAGCATTCTTTTAATCTCTTTGAACTGTTCTCCGTGTAACAGAGCAAGTCTTGAGATGTGTGTGAGCAGCCTGAAACCCTAAGGTCAAAACTGTCTCCAATTCATCTGACAAAAATAATGACCCTTTCCAGTATTTTCTTTCACTGGTGCAACATGAATCAGATTTGTTTTCACAAAGTTTCTGGTTTTGTTTTGAATTTATTTCTCAATACTGCTGGTCTTTTCCATGTATGATGGAGCAGACTGAAGGGGCGATGTTTTGTTCACTGGCAACCCAATCAGGTTCACAGCACAACAGTATCATTTTCCAGTACAGCTAAATTTATTACACTATGGTCCTATGAGATGGTTTGACATGCTTTCAACTGGTTAACTAACAATTTGATGGGATGTGAAAACCACAGGAGTCAGGAAGAAGGTAATAGTCTGTGAGTGGGCCTTATCTGTCTTGCTACACTGACACTTATGGTTTCAAGGAGAACTAAATACAACACATTTAGGGACCTAAAGCGAAGTGACCAGGGTTGGGCTTCACATGAGAGTAGAGCTGGTTGCCAATGACTATGTTAGACTAGTGTTTGTGGCTTTGGTACTGTGTAGCATGTGGAAGAAAACACAAAGAATCCTTCACTAAAGGGGAAAATGGTGTGTGTGATTGGGGAGCCTTAGGTCTCTGAAAAGAAAAAAAAAGCCTACCTCCTCTGTTTTGTAAGGCAAATTATCTCAGAATTAAAATTACTTCAGGCTGACAGAGTAGCCAATAGCAGGAACTGGAGACAGTAATTTTTAGCACAAACTTAGGACTGCAGTGGGTATCCATTAGGATAGTCACAGCATGTAACTTGGTAGAAATGTCTCATGCAGAATAGTGATTAGATTTATTCCCTAAGCGGCCACCTTTTGCAGTAGGTAGATCAATTGGCTATGCACATGCTGTGGCTGCTTTTCATTTTGCTTCTTTCAAAACGTACGGCAACACTTGTGCGGTGACTGCAATTTGAATAGCACTACTTATTCAGAATCACCATTTCACTATCATCTAATCAAAAATCTTTATTCTCTGATGCAAAATGCATTTAAAATAAATAATAATCTTTCAACTCTGAGCTCCTGGTAAAATATCTTATATTAATGAAATTATAAATAGCAAGTGCCAGTTCTATGCCAGATCTAACAGTACAGAAAAGAACACATTGTGAAGGAAAACGCAGCAGTGTTTTGTCACCCAATTTTGTTGTTTATAAAGCAAGTGCTTATGAGAAAGATCATTTTGATTTCATAGTTCTTCAACTTAAATACAACTGTCATTTAAGCCTCTACTATAATTTCATCACACACCCAGGAAAGTATACACAGGCACACATCCACGGTGGCAAAAGATGTATGGCTGACCTATTTTCATGTCTTGCTGTGGTGACTGTGTATCAAATACAGTAAAATTTTTGCATATGCAATTCTGAAAGCATCATCCATAGTTGCTCTTTAGAATGTGCCTATTACCAAAGAACTAGTTTATCTGAAAACAACAGTCAAAAGACAAGATGGCTTCAGTTTTCTGAAAAATGTTAGTCAACTAAGGAGGAATTGACCACCTAAAGCTTTACGAAAGACTACACCAAATGAAATTTAGATTGAAGCATAGAAGACATCTAAATACACTTGCATCTTGTTTTCAAATTTTGGTTAAAAACAAACTGCATAACTTTTTATATATGTTTAGAAACATCCCTTTCTGCTCTGACTTGCACAGAAGCCCAGGTCTAAGACTTTCATATAGAATTAAAATTGTCTTGACTTTTGCTTCATTTTTGAAGTGATTTAATTTTGTTTTGAAGCATTTCCCCAGTGTGTGCACTGAGTTTACTAACGCTGTCCTGACCTTGGAGATGGTGTGATATTTTACGTTGTGCAGTGACATTTATGTGCCCAACTTGGCTCCAATAAATAGGTTAATTTCCGCAAATTAAATGCCAGGTTTGAAACATTACAACGCAATTTAATAATTCTGCATTGGCCTTTTGGATTCACAGTTGGGGCAGTTGACTGGGCAGTCCTTTGTCAGCTGCAAATCCACAGCTTCTACACAATTTTTTCAGGTATAAAGAGTCAAACTAAAAATGTTGGGAAAAGAAGTAGTCAGGTTTATAGTTTCACATATTCTTGAACACCAAAACCCCAAATACATGGAGCAATTAACAACTGACAGATTCATGCTACAGGAATGAGTTCAAATTTTAGACAATACTCCTTACACATCCCAAATTAAGCTATATCAAAGTATCTCCCTGAAGTAAAGGTAACTTAAATGATGGAAAGTATAATAAACCCTCCTTATTGTTAGTACTGAGTTAATATTCAGACATTTGCTGGACAAAGACTTTATTTTGGTTTTCAAAATCAAACTGTGACTCATATGGATTTGGATTTCACTTCATGCAGACATCTACTGGATATTAGGTGCCAGCATTGGTTCTTTAATATAACATTTTTAAAAAACATTGGTCTTGAAGCTCCCTTTTCATTTGGCCTGAATTCATTAATTTTGTTGCTACTAAATTACATACTAATTTTTACTATATCTGTTAATATAAATCAGACAAGAATAAGAGGATCTATACGTGACCTTAAAATAAACTGAAGAACCTTGTGGTTAAAAATAGAGATACAAACCTAGCAAAGACAAGAAAGCACACTGATATAAAATATTGTTCTTAATCATCTTGCTTGTTCAAAGAACAGTTTACACACGTTACAGTTAGTAGCTAAACTGCAATTTAGCTTGAATTTCCAGAGTCTGATTCCAAGATATTCTTTATTCTGGTTTTTAAGTAATGTGTCTGAAGTTACTTCTGCTATGTATTCTCATTCCTGGGTAATCTTTCCAGAGGATATGAGTCACTTCTCCATTATTTGTAGAGAATATGGAAAAAGTAAAATATTATTATTTTGTGGGCATTTGGAATTGGATATAAAAAAAATATGTTGGATGTTGATTGTTGTGAGTCATTTCTTGGGAAGAAGGAAAGAATTAACACTAGCTGCTGACCTACTGCTATGAAAGCCAAGGACTTATTGCTGACTCAAGAAGCAGGTATTGATAGCTGCAGAATACAAAGGAGATCTTCCAGCAGGGAAGTCTTTCCTCTTTAAGTAATAAGGAGTTATAAGGAGCTTCCTGTGTTGATTTCTTGGAGGCTGTTGTTTGGTTAAACAATCTTCTAGTTTACACACATTAGCCAATTAGAACTGCAAATAGTTGCTACAACTAAACGAGTCTCCTTCTGACTTTCCAAAAGTCCTGGCAAATCTTCAGGTAGGTAATGAAGTGCAAGACTGAACTCCGTAGCACTGAGATAGCTCCACCAGTAACTCCCAGTGCAATCTCCTACTGTTTCTGAGTCTTTCACCAGTCTTGGTTGGTGTAAATATTGGTATAAACATAACTGAAGCAACATGAATACTTTGTAACGCATTTGCATTCTGATCAACTGACTGAAAAAACCCTGTTTTGTTACCAAAAGTGATTTTTAAAAGTGACTTTGTATCACTGTGGCCTTCCTATGTTTTATTTATACCAATTAAGCAGCTGCACTGGGAACTGCTCAATGACTTATGTGTGCAACTACACAAACTACCTGTAAAGCACGCAGAACACAAAAGACAATGCATTTAATAATTATGACTTAACTATACTTATGATTTGCCTGTTTTTTTTCAAGATGCAGTGGACACACTATGATGAAGCCTGATAATTATCTTTTCTGCAGGTCTTTTTTGATTGTTTGCTGTGTTTTGCTTTTTAATGAGGAAAGCTGCTTTGCAAATGCAAGGGTGCAGTTCCATGGTGACTGGAGTCAATTTAAGTCACGCCTACTACTCTTCTCTTCCTTTTCTTGTTCTCTTTCTGTATAAAAAAGATGTTTCTGTACTAGCACAGGCACTTGAGCAACTCAGTAGTGGGCCAGCTCAGAGTGGTGATTGAAAACTAATTCTAAACACAGATTCCAACACCAGTAAGTGATGAATTGGGAATGAGCAGCAGGGTAGGATTGTCAGGAACATGGCAGTCTGTATTTATGTTTGAAAAACCTGCTGTGAAGCTGAGTCTGAATGGAGGCTTTCATGGGGAAACAATTATAAAAATGTGCTCTGTCATTACAAAATAAGTTTTTAAAAGACTTCCAATAAATATTTTAAAATCATAGTCTTACTAATGCTAATAAAACCAGTCCATGCTCTGTGCTCTTTATATGAGTTTATTCATTGTTACTTCTAAGTAAATCTGAAGCAGTGTTAACAGCTTGGATGCCATAGATTTAAAAAAATCAGTAACAAGTAAAATGCTACATTAAAATGTTCACACTTTACCAAAATGATTGTGGATGTTTATGTAAATATTTTTTAAAGCCTAAATGTTTAACAGTCTAACAGTCCACTACAGAATGTTAACTTAGGGATGCAAATGGATTATGTGCCTAACTGTTACTTCTTAATGTCAGTCAGAGGGTTCACATGGCCACTTCAGATCCTTAAAAAAGGTACCTTTGCAGCTTTGGATTTGAAAACCACGTTCAAGTTCCAACCCTGGAACAGCTGATCTCCAGCCAATAAATCCCTGGGTAGTCTTAGGTACTGGAGGAGATGGGATCACCTAGAATAAAAGTAACATTAGAATTCAATGGTTAAACGGCTTCTGATTTTAATTTCTGTTACACAACATCCTCTTTTGTGCTGCAGTGTGGATGGAAATGAGAACTTATAAAAAATAGTGGGTTTAAATGCAATCTGCTGAATTAATATCCTGAACACACACTGACATTAATGGAAGGAAATAAGAACTTCAAAAGATAACACAGTTGCATGTAAGTTTGATTTATAATACAGGACAGTTTATAATTTAAAAAGTCATTAGAATAATTTAGGTCCCATTCTATAGCAAGGCACAGGGACAGAGAGAAGTAAAATGGTCAAATTCCAATGAAGTAACTAACCTTCATTTACAACCCTTCTAAAAAAAAAAAACAAAGTAAGGTCTTTTAGTGCCTAAATTGGTATGTATAACAGGAAATCAAACCCCAAAGTTATTGTTTAGTAGTGTATGTTAGCATACTTAAAAAAAAAAAAAAGTTTTGCTCAATATCTTTCTAAGGGCTTTACATTATTAGGAGTAGAACTTAATCTTCAGCTTTAGCTTTTTTCCTATTATCATCATCATCATCATCTTTAAAACCAGTTAACTTCTTAAAACAGGAGAAATAGCATTTTATACTTGCTGTAATGTATTTGGTAGCAATGCAGCTACGGAATAATCATTTAGTGGCCAAATGCTAAAGATATTCCTGATCAAGCTGGCTTTTGCATCAAGAACTACTTACTTGTTCCACCTTCTTTCTACTTTAAAAGATGGGTAAGCATCAAGCTAATCTGCAACTAATCTAGCTAAAAAGGAAACAAAACAAAAGCCAACAGTCTCTGTTCACTGACTGCTGTGCTTACTTTGGCTGAATCATCTCATTTGGGCACGTTATATCATTTTAGCATCTGGGGACTTAGTAGAGAAGTACACAGCAAGAGAACAATGCTTCAGTTCTCTTGCCAGAGTTGCTTCACTTTGTTCTTCAGCCAATATTAGAAAATGTTTATGATATTTAGGTGGAGCAGTTCCTCTGAAAAGATAATTTTTAGGGCCAAAAGTGCCACCCACTGAGCAGGATAATGAAGGAAATCATGTCCCACTTACGAGCTGGGGGAAGGGACTATGAAGAAGCAATTATAAATCTAACCTAGAGAGAAAAACAGATATGATTGTTACTATGAAGGTAAGTGTGCAGAAAGATACATAGTTCTGAATAAGGACTTAAGAAACTTCACTCTGAATACGTAAAGGGTGACCGAAATCACAGCTAACCCTTACCTTCCTTAGCAAATAAAGATTCTGAGGTGAAACTGAAGCTATGATCCCCGTTTCAGTAAGCACCAGGCTATGCATGCTACTTTAGCAGCTGCTACTTTAGCTGCGTGATTTGCTAACGCTCATACACCCTCACTGTGCTGAAGCAGAGGGAAACTTGACTGAAATTGGAGGCTTGAGACAAAACTGAAGAACAAGTAGGACTAATGGCAGAAACGCTGCCGTTTCATTTCTCTGCCACACTCAGCACTAGCTCTTAATTTTTGTTTCAATTTAATCTCAGTAAAAGCTTTTACTGCTTCCTCACCTTATCTCTCCACCCTGGGAATCCTTTGAAAGAAAGCTAGTTCAGCAAGCAGGAATTTCCAACATCTTTTGTTTCCTTAATCTTCTCTAAGTGGACTAACCTTCCCTTTTGTTAGCATATTCTGCTTCCCCTTTTATGAGTATGTTTCTCTCCCAATGTCGCTGATTTAGCTGCCTATATAGTTATCCTATTCACTGGTGATTTGACACTGTATATTTATAAATCAAACCACCAGTCACATTCCACTGTCATTTCCAGCTGTTTGACAACTTTTAGACTCTCAATATGTGAATATAAATTATATACTAGAAAATCAAATAGTTATGAATTGGCTCATTAGAACTGACTTCTTACTAATTTGTGCCACTAAAGAGGACAGTGGCATTGTCTTTGCCAAAAAGAAGTCTTAAATGAAGATAGAAGAATGACTGCAACTTAACTGATAATTAAAACTGAGAGTTAAGGTTATGATGAGCCTTGAAGTAAGACAGGTATATGTATATTTGAGCAATGAATGGTCAGCAGCCTTAAATGGCTCTGTGAGCTCTCTTCTGTACTGCACTGTGCTGTTACTAGATGTCACAGAGGAGTGCATGGGGGAGGTGCTTTACAGAAAGAGGATTATGTGCAGTGAAAGCTCTGTGAACTAACAACCATATCCAAAGGGCAATTCCTTGTCTTAAATGAATGCTTTTAAAGCATTGCTCGGGTTGCAAATACAATTTACTTTGACCTTTAGTTAAAGGCCCACCTCTACAAGACAACTGATTTTTAGAGCTTGTGTGGTTTCTTAAGACAGATATTGTTGTATTGCAATTTTAAAATCTAATTTTCTAACCTTAATGTATTTTTCCATGGGTGTCACAGGTCGAACCTGCAGATGTTCTGGAAGCTGTATCCTGGGCTTTGTATTTTCTTTCTTTTCGTCTTGAATCAACTAAAACCAAAACATCAACATTAAAAATTGGACTCTCTGTCTTTTGAAATATGCCGTCATATCTGATATCTACACAATTCCTCTCATTGTTGCATCTGAACTCCCTGTTCTTTCCATGTAAAACAGGACTACTTATTGTAGTGCTTTGGAAATTATTGTAATGTATTTGTTGGTTTCAGAAAGTAATGTAATTCTGAATTTCAGATGAAAGGCTAAATATTGCTGAGTGATTCCAACTCTCTTAGCTCCATCACTGGTCCAAAAAGGGCTAGAAATATATCTTATCTACATCTTACATGAGCTCAAACCAAAGATTAATAAATGCCAAATAAATGTGTTCACCAATACTAACAATGCATAGCTTCCCAACTTTTCGGCTGTAGCTCTATTAGTGCTGTGCAAACGTGGTATGCACGACAGACCAGAGTTATCAAGGATGGACGCTGAAGCCTAGAGGACCAAAGTTTTCAAAGGTGCTAACTTGGATGCCTACAGGAATTTTCAAAAAATCCTAGAACAGGTTAAGTACTTCCAGCCTCATGGAAAGTGCATTTATAATTATTCAGGGGCTGCATCAATCCTGTTCTTTAGCAACGAAATACTGTGACTCCAAATGTAATTATGTGCTACTGTAGTCTAAATCTAAACATCACTGAGAATAGACATCTCTCCAAATATTTTCATTTGTTGTAAATTCCCCCACTGAAAATTTAATTAGCTAGAACCTTTTCCCCTAGATTTTTAAACTACCATATGGATAGACAAAGGGGAAATATTTTCCTGTCAATGTGCATCTAGTACTTGTTAGCACTGTTGGGAGTCATGTTTCCCAAGAGAAATACATCAGAATACGCATAGCATATAAATTACCACTTGCCATATTTTATTCAGAGGAAAACCGAAACTTTGAACCCATCTTAAAAGTAGTGCACTTGTTACCTCGGAACCTAGCTTAGTGAACCATACTCAGTCCTTTTCTAGTCTTCTGTGCTCTCCTAATTTCGTGTCCAGATAAATTTGTGCACAAGTAAATTTCATGTGTTGCTTATATGCCATCCAATTTTACCTCCTCAGGAGGTGTTTTCAAGAATCCCCATTTGTGAGACCATCTTTTTGCAGTTTCCAGTTCACTTTCAACGTATTTTTTCCTGAAACAGAGAAATAATTAAGATGACTTTGAAAGCTTTTATTAAAAAGAAGATGCACACGCAAACCCAACTACTGGTGTCACAGAGCACAGCGCTTTAGCATGGATCATTAGACTTTTACCTCAAAACACCAAGTTTATGTATGAGTTAACAGTTGTCTGACTTGGAGGTAATGGGGAAATATTTTCCGTAGGTTGGAAATGAAATAGCACACGTGAATGCACTTCCTTGCAAATTAAGTTTACGTTAGGAATTGGAGGGGGGTTAAATTTGCTGTGACACATTTTTTTTAAAAACTTGACAAGTAAGCACGGATGTCCTTTCACAGAACTGCCTGGAACTCCATGGGCTGTTGCCCGGTGCGATCACCCTTTGCCCCCCGCCCTGCCCTGCTCCCCATTCCTCACTCCCTTGGCCGGGCAGAAGAACAGGGGAGGCCCGGGGGGCCGCCGGCTGCGAGGGGAGGGCTGGGGCCGTTACCAGCACTCATCCCGCGCTACCAAGTCGCACGACGAGCGCAGGTCGG